AGGGGATTACAACATCTCTGTGGCGACAAGCAGAAAATCATTACAACAACGTGGCTGTCACGACAGACGACAGGCAGAAAGGGATTACAGCCGTGACTGTGAACAGGAAAAGGGGAGATAACAATGTGACTGTGACAACAAGAAAGAAAAAAGAGGGTTGCGACGTGACTGTGTCGACAGGGTACAAAGTGACCTCGAAAACATAGACCAACGTGACTTAGCTATTTTAGCCTAGAATCTAGCCTATACTCAGGCATAAGGCGAGAAATGCTAATGATCATGCTGAATAAGTTCGAAGAACACCAAAATCTATTCCTTCAAAATGCCTAAATTAAAATTTGGTTCAAATACAGACTATCTCCCTACAAAACCCAGAAAAGGCATGCGTATGCGAACTATGATCGCCGATGGGTTTAAAACCTGGCACTTTCCAGGATATAATCAATCTTGAAAGGGATTTTTTTTCAAAGTAGAGTCTAGATTCTAGATCTACGGGTGAGATTTATATGAAATGTAAAATAATATGCTGGAAGCTGTTGCACTTTTTAAAAAATTAAATACCAACCTGTTAATAGGAAATGTGTCCCCGATTCTAAAATAGGACCGTTTTTCAAGTTGACCAATTGTATGACTTTTTCTGCTCAATAAGTTGGGGTTTAAACAAATTTCGGTTTTACAATTCAATAGATACAAGCATTTTGATCGTTCATTTGCCCTGTACATGACATTTTCGACGTCCACAAATGAACATCTGGACATAATTGAAGCTACAAATACATGTTCTTCTATGGTGCAAAACGGGTCAAAACTTAATTAAAAGAATTAACTTCAGTATTTTCTCAGTTTTGTTCTTTTTGTTAGATGTTATTCCCGGCACAGAAGTATCGTGCATCGGCCCACGTTTTATAATAAATGTGCAACAGGTTTTTAAAAATCCTTTTCATCTTTTGTCATCCAATTTCTTATTTCTGATCGCTTTAAATTTAAATACCGTATCCATAATCATGCTGTGTTTTGGAAGTATTAACAACATGCCTTCGTTTTTATTGCAAATGCGAAAGCTGTACACTTCTAGGGTAGGGAAAACCCGAAGACGATGGAAAATATGATAAGCACACTCCATGGCGCAATTGGCCTACTCTTTTGGATTATGTCAGACTTGGCGGGCATACGTCATCGAAATGTGTTTGTCCGCCATCTTTTTTATTTAAAAAAAAAATCAACATACTAAGTTGTCTATAGGAGCCCAAGCATGACCATCGTAAGTGGATAGAATCTAGGTTTTGAAACATATTATCATAGGGCGTGTCTTTGGATATGAATTTCCTGCTGGACTAGAAAGCATAAGAGCATGGTTTGAATTCCAACTGGGCTCCTTTGAGCATGGGTTGTTTGGTTAGTTATAGTATCTACCTCATAGCTGGACACCGCCCCGATCCATCCTAATTTGGGAACTAATTTGTTACAATTTCACTAACTAAACTAGATCTAGAATCTAGATCTATATCTAGATCTATAAGGGACTTAAGTTAAATCGAATGCCCCGCCTCACGATACATTTAATAGGCCTAGTAGATTCTAGGAAGACGCGGATGTTGTGATTGCGAATATTTTTCTTGATCTAAAAAAGAGGCAATTTTCCCCTAGATCTAGATTCTAGATATAGATCTAGATATAATATAGATCTAGATCCTACTTACCGTAAACCACATTACTTGTGTGGTAAGGTGGTTAGGCACTCTACCGCCGCATGTAGATCTAGATCAATAATGCCCGAGTTCGATTCCCAAGAGGGAAGAGTTTTTATCAAGTAGTTACTGTAGTAGTAGATGAAGATCTATATATTGGTCTTTCTGCTCGGATGGGGTTTAAATCTATTTCAATCTTACTTGATACTAACAGTTCCTACTCTCATATTACTAGATTCCACTCAGGGATTTTGACAGGCTCGTTTACTTTGTAGCATTTTTAGAATGTCAAACCCAATCTCTCAGGGGGCCAACTCAAATTACACTTCAGGTTGTGTGTCGAGCTGGACAAACACTCATTGTGAAGTGGAAAGTAACACTTTTTAAAAAAACGAAAATTTTAAATAATAAATCGAGGCAAACAAATTTACGTTCTTGTGCCAATTTCGTCAGCGCTGGAAGTTTGGCATCCTTTATGGGTAACAAGTTCGTTTATGTTTGGAATAAGGTTCTGTGTTATTGGGTTTCTCAGAATAGCCTACACCAGGCCTTCTAAGAAGAAACTTAGGCTTGATTTTAAAGTTGTTGATCGGGGCGAGTGCGTCCCGCAGGCCCTGAGTTTGGCACATAAGTTGTAGCAGACGCTACTTTCTTTTTCCTGTTGTATTCTCTCAGCAGATGCTGGAACGACTGGGCTGGTGTTGTCTGCTCCAAGGTCCCAAACTTGACAGACTTTGATGTCAAGGTCATGCCGAATCGCTTTATAGCAGAAAGTCTTTCCACGTCACGTAAGATAGAAAAATAATGCAGTCTCTTTATTTGTCCTTTGATATCTATTGTGTGAGTTCAGCGCCCGTTCAACACTGTACTGTAAGATTATCCTCTGACTCACCAAGGACAACCGTTCTGGTCTTTTGATGATGCTGAAGACCCGCTGTTTTTGGGTACCTTACATAGAGAGAAACATAACTTTCTTAAGTATACCGATGTACCATATCTGTTTTCTTTATCTGAAACTTAAAGTGACTGTCAACAACGTGCATATTATAAAGAAATAATGCTAAATCGTGACTGCAATCCCACATTGTGGTTCGAAATGTCCGCATTACCTTTGATCCCCTGCCGATCAGACATGCATTCATGAAATAATACTATGTCTTCGACGTACCTGATAGGACTGAACTGAGGAGATGCAGAGCGTAGGAAACTTACCTATTCTTTTTTTAAAAATCAGAACAGTACAACTTCAAGAAATCCCCTTGGGAGCTCTTTGTCAATGTGCTGTTGAAAAAAATTACTTTTATAAAGATTGACTATGTCATTTACACCATAACAGCTCTCTGTTAAAAGAGAAGACAGTAGCCTCCTAATTTTCTTTCTTGTCTTCCTAGTAAGGTTCCTTTTCCTGTCTTAGTGGCTTTCATAGTACCTCTACCAAGACGTTATTTTTCGCAGATCAAAACAACTGGTTGGACCCTGCGTTCAAAAAGACATCGGGAGATAGCACCAGTCTTTCACAGTGCACCCAAAACATCAACAATCAGCCCAAAACATCCGACAGGCGGCGCTTCGACTTCGTCGTCCTGCCCGGCGTCTTAGATTCAGAGGCTCCCGGAAGTGACGACAGTTGCTACTCCGCTCGGCCAATCATCGGAGTTTTCCGGTTTAATGCGGGGCAGCCCTCGAGTCGTTACCATAGGCGACGGAGAAGACACTATTATTGGAGAAGGCGCAGAGCGCGTAATCTGTTTCGTAAATACGAGACTGAGTTGTCTGCTCTTGAGCATCTTGGCAGTACAGATTCTTGGGACATTTCTTCAAACCCTAGGATAACATACCAGTGTCCAAACGACTTGAGTTGTAGAGAGGTAATTATTGTGTATGTGTATATATCATGAGAGAGAGAGAGAGAGAGAGAGAGAGAGAGAGAGAGAGAGAGAGAGAGAG